TACTAAAAAGGTTTTGGCAGGCCACCTTTTTTGTACGTAAAGTAGCCTCGATGAACAATAAAGTGCTTTTAAACCACTGTGACTGTGTGGGTGTGTTTGTGGCTGTGTAATGGTTAAGACAGATGGTACAAGTGGGCGATTATTTTGGATAATAAAATGGGTCCAAAGAAGGCATGTAAAAAGAATGTATGGAAGGACGTAGTAAAGTGTAATAAAAGGCAGAAGAATCCAAATGCACACCAGAATTCCAAATAAAACATGTTTTTACATAAATGTAAACAGAGAAACAATGACATTTATTCTAGGTTTTGCTTAAATACTTACAGAAGAGACTTAAGGTAACAAAACAACTCTAAGTAAAAAGAATTGTGAAAACAGAATCCTGAGTTTTAATTTCACATCAAAGATTAAATTTGGCAAACTCTAGAATAATGCATTTTTCTCAAGATTCTCATTTTAATCTCAGTCAGGAGCAAGTCTCTGAGCTTTGTTTTGCCATTGCACTAATCCTATTCTGTAAATATCCAAGCAGCTGCTATAATTTACACCTTACACTTCAGTAGATCTGACCCAAACCACAGCAGAATAAGAAAAGAAACAAACAGCGGAGACAGATAAGTGCATGCATCGACACAAACAAACAATAAAAACCTTCACTTGGCCCCTTCAGATTAACCTGCGGTTGTAGGTCCCAGGTTGTCTACAGTAGCTGTAAATCATTCCCATTTAAGAAACCATGGTTCAGTTAATGTACAATAACATCTGTGCAGGATTTCTCAGAGTAATGCTTTCAAAGGAACAAAGCTGGTTTTAGTATTAACTGTACTGTACAGACAGGGAGATGGATGCATTTGCTGAGTTGTGAATTGTTTTTATGTTTTTATACCGCTTTCCCCAAACTAAATGAGTGAGCAGATGTAGTATGCTAGTGTCTTGCCAAAAGGCTCTTCAGCAAATCCATTGTGAATGTGTTGGTGGATGGACCGAACCTGTGACCATTCAGTGAAGCTTTTTTTAAAGCTTTTTAGAAAAAATAGCCCCTGAATACAGTGTTGTTATATTTTAGCTCAGGAAATTTAGCTGACTCCAAACATTGATTTAATGTGACTGAAAACACATCATGAAACAATAGGAGCAGGTACATTCTCCCTTAAATACAACTGTAAAATACTGATTTGTTAAACCTCTGATGTGGTTATTCATGTAAAGTGAAATACATTCAGTGAATTTTTTTGTTGCTGATTATAGTTTTTACAGAATTACTACTCACGTCAGACTTCTGGAAGTTGTTTTAATGAGTACATGAATATTACTGTACCCGCTGTTATCTGCAAAGTGCTCAGTGAGCCATCCACTCACCTCATCCTTTGTACAGGTGAGATAAAAAAAAAAAAAACCAAAGCATTAAACATGATTTGGAGTGTCCATTCCTTTAGTGGTTTTGTTCCTCAAGTCCTTCAAATACTCTCATCATCGCTCATATCCCAAATCTGTTGAGAAAAAGACACAACAGACAAAGTTAATAAAGACAGAAATAAACAGTTAATATGGAACTCATGTAAATGATGACTATGTAGTTTAATCAGTCTTAACTCAAGAGCAAAAGACAAGATTGTAGCAGGTTTCAGCTGAGTTTGCTCACTGAGATGGTTAAAAACTCCAGGAAAAAATTACATGTACAAAAAAAAAAGGTTTACATTGTTCCTTCTTGAGGTCAAACATCCATATCTTTTCTCATAAAACCTTTGCTAAGTCAATTTCTGAAATATTGATTGTAGTTGCAGTTTTTCCTCAAAATGCCGTCAAACTACTATTTACAAAGTCATGAATGAGCTTAAAGAATAATGTCAGTCATTTTCTATATTTATAGTATTTTCAACAATCCCCACGCAGAGACAAAAACTAGCAATGAATTACCGCTCAGTCTCCAATCTGGATTAGCATGTTCGTCTGTGACACTGACCTCAGTTGTTGTTCAAAAATGAAACAACATTAGAGAAAGTGAAGTGAAACATTAGAAAATGACTGACTTTATACTTTAAAGTCACACACATACATGTCTGTCTAATATATGTAGTGTACTCACTACATGTACTAAATTAGATACAGCATGTACATTACACAGAGTCATAAGGCATTATGAACATGACTAACAAATCTGTTGAGGTGTTTACAATTGTTCTGACACAACTGGACATCTGTGCAGATGCCTGTAGACATCTAGTGTACAGAATTATACAAATGCCAGTTTACTGCAATACAATTCAATCCCGAGCACTAAGGGCTAATTTAGGACAAAGTGTTAATGAAAACAGGAGGAGACTGATAAACTGCACTTCAGAGAACATAAAGGGAGCTGCAAATCTAATTCCCTTGGCTGCATGTACTAATTGTATAACAGCTTTGAAAATAATTATTCACAATCATAGCTAAG